GTAGTGGCTGGACACATGCAATATAACTACCAAGTGTAGCTATGCAGTGAGAAAGAGAATGTTTCATTTAATGTTGATTAGTCACAAATTAAATTTAAATGGCTGTGCATGCTGGTGGCTACCAATTTGGATAGAATTTTAGACTAGTGAACAGATTCACTTTGTGACTCTAATTTAAAATACAAGTTCCTTTAGAGTTATAATTTTATGTTGAAATCCAAGTTTAAAAGTTATGTTGGAACATTCAAGAGAATTAAGAATTATAGAGTTTAATTAATTAAATGTAAAAATGTATCTAAATAGATGGAAAGATGTATTTTTCATTGGAGAATTGAAGGTCTTAGAAAATTGATTCAAGGGTTTGAAAACATTCAAATAAGTCATCTGAGCACAAGGGACTAGCTAAAATTCAATAATAAAAAGTAGAAAACAAAAAAATTAACTTAACAATTAATTTCTGAATAGTCCATGCATCAAAAAAGAAGTTATAAGAAATTAGAAAATATTTTGAAGATAATGAAGATAAGACATATTAAAACTTGTAAGATACAGCCAAAGCAGTTCTTAGAAGACATTTATAGCCTTAAATATTAGAGAAGAGACTGAAAATCAATTATCTTAGCCTGTCATGTAGCTAGACATAAAAAAACCCAAAAGATAAAGAAGAAAGGAAATCATAATGATAAGTGCAGAAATAATGGATCTGAAAATAAAGAAAACAAGCCCCAAAGTTATGTTTTAAAATGATTAATAAAACTGATAGACCCCTAGAAAGACCAATCAAGAAAACTGAATATCTTCCTTACATATGTAATTAAAATGTAAGGAACTGTAACAGAATTATAAAAGCCACCTCAGTGATTAATAACATTCATGACATAAATAAAACAGTATGAACTTCGCATGAGATGAAAGCTTAAGAACGAGGCTTATCGCCGTTTGCTCTGGTCGGAATGTTTGTGTCCCCCTTCAAATTCGTAAGTTGAAAGCCAATCCCCTGAAGTGATAGTATTAGGGGGTGGGGCCCCTGGGAGTGATTAGGTCATGCGGGTGGAGCCCTCGTGAGTGGCACTGGTGCCTCTCCCAGACTCTCTGGCCCTGGGAGGTGAGCGTGAGAACGTAGGCGTCTGCGGGGACACGGGCTCTCCCTGGACATCAGACCTGCCGGCACCGCCATCTCAGCCTTGCAGCCTTCGGCACCGGGAGAAAGGAATGTGTTCTGTATACGCCACCCAGTCTACGGCATTTTTGTTACAGCAGCCTGAACAGACTAAAACACCATTATAAAGTCAATGAGTAAGATACAAACTCTGTAAAAGCAAACTGGTCCCTGAATAATCTCAGTGACCTTGGGGGCTTCCGTGGCCAGGACCCAGGGCCCCGTGAGGCCGAGCAGCCCTGACTGCAGGGAACAGGTGCTCCGTGGTTGACAGGCATTTCCCCAGCTGTAGACACAGGGCTGACATACAACATGGCCAGCTCCAGGTGCACACAGGATGACGTGAGACAGGTATGCACTGCAAAATGATGACGACACTCAGGTTCGTTCGCATCTCCATCACTTCACGTGATTACCTGTGTGTGTGTGTGGTGACAACATTTAAGACTGCCTCTCTTAGAAGCTTTCGAGTACGTAATGCGGCATTGTTAACTACAGTCACGACGCCGCACGCGTCATCCCCAGGACAGACCCATCTTACCACGAACGGGAAATCTGTGCCCTAGGACCACACTTCCCGTTTCCCTCTGTCCCCAGCCCTCAGAGCCACGATTCTTCTATGAATTTGGGTTTTGTAGATTTCACATGTGAGTGAGATCATAGTTTTCGTCTTCCTCTATTTCATACAGCATAACGCGCTCAGGATTCATCCACGTTGCCACAAACAGCAGGATTTCATTGTTATAGCTGAGTAATGCTCCAGTGTACATTGGATCCTGGCTGAGGCAAGGATTGTCAGGTTTTTGCACTGTGGTTCTGTCCTCCCCCTCACCCCAGCCCTTGCAGGACTCCTGGCAAGAAGGTCACTATACGCCACCCACACTGAAGGAATGCAGGGCTGTGCTGCTTCTCTCTGAGGGCAGAGCACCTACGTCCATTATTTGGAATTCTTCTGCAATGGAGATTCATCTCTACTCTTCCATTAACATATTTACTCAATCACTTATTTGCATCAGTGTGGACTCATAGATATTTATTTTATACTTTGGGTTACAACCCAATACTACTTGATTTGTCTGCTCCAATTGTTCCAGCTTTGGCCACTGGGAGCTCTTTCTGTTGGCTCTCGTGTCCTTTTGCCATATGTCCTGCCCACATGGGCTTTGTGTGTGTGTGTGTGTGTGTGTGTGTGTTGTTGTTGTTGTTTGTTTGTTTTTTTTTTACTTCTTCAATTTCTGGCACTATAAGATGCTCCAGAATCAAAAACAAAACAACAAAAAAACAGGCTTGGGGTTGAGCAGAGGTGGAGACTAATGAGAAAGGTTTGTTTGTGGAGTCGCCCCCGTAAAGGTGACGGCTGAGGTTCTGGGAGGAAACCATCCGTGGCCGGGGGATGTGTTCCTCCAGAAGGCTGGCCAGTTACGGGGTCTCGGAGAACGCTAACACGTACGGGCAGTCGTGGGACAGAAAACAGGAAGAGACAGGGAGAGAAGATGGGCATAAAATACCACGAAAGATTGTTGTTACGGAGGCTAAAGAGAGAGGAGCCCAGGAGAAGGGACAAGTGTGACGGGGTCGGAGAGGGGCTGGTGGCCTTTCGTAGATGACGGGAGACCTCTTTGGGAGCTGTGGCCGTAGGGCCAGACCGGAGCTGAGTGCACGGGGAGGTCAAGCGGAGGCCGGGGCTCTGGAGCCAGAAGTGGTGATGGCTTCCTCTTCCATCTTCAGCTACTCCAGTCCCTTTAGCAGACGCTTTTCTTCGCTGCCCAGTCAATGCTGTTGTTACCTAAGGCTCTACCCTTGGCTCTACGCTCTAGGTGGTTCGGGTTCTCTCGGTTTCAAGTGACAGAAAGCAACTGCGGCTGGCTTCAGCAGAAAGACGGGTTGGGAGGATGCAGCGTTACCTCACAGGACCTGGAGGGTTGGGACTGGGCTTTGCACTGAAGCTTCGACTAGAAACCTAGTGCCACAGGGTTTCTCCGGCTTCTTCCCTTCTTTCTTGATACCTATTTCATCTTCTGCTTTTGCTGCGAATCTGCCGTCTCGGATTTGCAGGCCCCGCGGTGGAAACCAATGTCTGCCACTGGCTCCTGAGTCGTGCCCACGCGGTCAGCCACTCGGAGGAGCGCTGCGGCCTTGCTCTCATTCCTATCTTCCCAGGGAAGAGAGTGAGCTGACCAGCCTGCGCAGATGCCAACCTGTGGGCCACCCGCCTGAGGGCAGACCTGCGAGGGCCGGGACAGGGACCTGAGTGAGAAGCGGAGCACAAAGCTTGCAGGGTGAGGGTCTGGATGGGCTCGGGGGAGTGGGAAGGAGGGGAAGGTGGCGTGAGCAGCTTCTCGTCTCCCCTCTTTGCTGCTGGTCAGTGCTCTGCAGGCGTGGGCAGCAAACTCTAGGGGCACTCTCCTTCCCAGGCCGGATGCCGGCCAAGTCCTTCTCCTCTAGGGAAGAAAATGGAGTGGCTGCCCAGCTCTTACAGACTCCCTGCCCCTCACCAGCCCGGGACCAGCCAGCCCTCGGGCAACCCCGGTGAGCACCCAGTGGCCACGTCCAGACCCTCTCAGTGAACCAGCGTTGACTGTTTCAGGGGCCAACCGAAGCCTCTTTCTGGGGTCTTTGCACTTGGAACTGGACAGACCACAGGCCAGCTGCTTGTTAGAATGGTGTGAGGCTGACGGTGGGTATGGCCCAGAGGCTGAGTCTGGAGGTGCTTGTCCTCGTTGCCCTGGAAACCTGGCCACACCTCTTCCCTCCCAGGGTCAGACCCCGTCAAGTAGGCTCCCATTTTCCAGACCCCCTTTCTGCCTAAGCGAGTGTGAGTAGGTTTCTGTGACACCAAAAGGGGCCCCAACTAATCCAAGGTCAAGGGAATCGCCCGATACAGCTGCCTCTTACCTCCCATATCAGCTGGAGAAAGTGACCCCTCCCCTTCTGACCCGTTTCCCGGGAGAAACGAGGTCCAAACAGTGATCGCAACAGGAGGCTCTGGGGTTCTGGCAGTCACTGCAACACTGGCACTTGGTGTGGTACCCTAATTTTGATATTTTAGAAACTGAAAATCAGTGTCATTTAGGTATCAAAATAAGGACCAATGTTTCAACTGATGATGAAAACACTTGCTGAATAAAACTCTATATCCAAAATCAGAAAAACCTTTTCGTTAGCTAGAGCAGTTTGAGCTAAAAACGCAGATGATACTCAGCGATACCACCCTGGCCCCATCGGCAGGACTAGTCTCAGGCTGCCAGAATTTTGAAGATAGTAGAGTTCCCATATACTCTTCACTCAGCTCTCCCTGTCGTTAGCCTTTTCTATGGGCATGACATATTAGCCACAATTAATGAGCCACTACTGTGCACTAGTATGAACTGAAGTCCGTACTTCATTAGCGTTTACCTAATGTCCTCTTTTATTTTAGGATCTCATCCGGAATACCACATTACGTTTAACTATTATGTTTATTTAGGCTCCTCTGGTTCACGACAGTGTAAGACCTTGTTTTTACTAAGTTTATCTGTTAACAATTTGTGTTAGAAGTATGCTTGTTAATGGTTCCATTTCACAAACTTACATTTTTACTTGATCTTGAAATACTTAATAAATTTTATCATTTGAATTACATTATTTTCCTCATATTGTTGATGTTAGCAATTCTGAAAATGTAGAGCTAAAACATTTGTATTGAGGGTTGCTGTTTATCTAAAACAAATTCTGAATGTCCAGTGTCACAGTTTGTGTTCTGGTAGAGCAGTTACTGTCCCAGGCCATCACAAATTTCTGCAGATGAGTCCTTCCCCCAGTATCTTCTCTGTGCTGTCTTTCCTCAGTGTACAGCGGGGCAGCGGGGGGCGCGGGGAGACTGACTTACTTGTGCCAGCCCAATCTGGCTTCTGTCCTGCACAGCCAGGGCCCTGGGGCCAGTTTGCAAGGATGCCTTTGACTCTGGGTACATCATCTTTGAGAAGACTGAAGGCTTTGTTTCCCCAGCGCCTTGCTCATTACTTGGAACACAGTGCGCAGGCGCCACAGGGAGGCGCTGTTATTCATCCAACCAAGTTGAATGCATGAAGGAAACAGCCCCATCGGCAGGGAAGAAGTGGCTCCTCTCCTGAAATGAGGAACTGACAAGAACCAGGGAACCTGGGAACCGGGCGGGGTGGCGAGGAGTAGTAGGGGAACAGAGCATCCTGGCCTGCAGAGTGGGGGGTTGAGAGTGACGAGGAGGGGATACTAAGCTACATGGACGGAAACTAAAGGACCCTTAGAGGATTCTGAGATGCTAGCAACTATCAGCATCTGAAAACCACGATGGAGAGTTTAAACTCGAGTGTGTATGCAGCACTGGCTTTTTGGTGGCGTGATGTCGACATGTAAGCACATTACAATCTATCAGTCTCCCCAGAGGTTGCCACGAGCAGGTCCCATAGTCAGGCCTCATTTCTGTCCACAATTCATGGCGTATTCGAAGTCTTTAAAACTGACATGGCCATCCGAGTCTTGATCTACTTCCCTGGAAAATGAAACAAGAAGTTATTTACAGGTTATTTTCATCACACTTGTGCATCAAGAATATATCACATCAGAATATATCTGAGTGTTTCTGTGAGAGGCGCCTATCCATCTACTTGAAGGCTGAGGCTGATGCCTATTTTTTTCCTTACACTGGTAAGTGGGACGGAAAGAAAAAGGCATTTACTAAAACCTATGGAAATGATGTCTTCGACCCATTTGAAGAAATGAAGCCAAATGCACAGGTTATGTACGAAAAGCGGGAATGAGGTTTTTTGCAATCATCCTTCAAATTCTCTCCGAGATCCATCAGTAAATGTACATGCATTACCCAACAGGAACGGGTAATAAGCCAGTAAGAGATCAGCACATTTCAGGAACAGTGATTGGCATCCTGCGTTGCACTCCGCCTTTACCTTCTTCCTCTCACCCAATCGGTGTGCCAGCGCTGGTCCAGGTCTGCTTGACAGACAGAAACAGGTTAAGTGATTCCAAAGACCACATTGCTGGTAAGGGGCAGCCTTGGAAGTAAAATCAGGATCGTTGAATTCCGCAACCAGGGCTGTACACTCTCCCGCACGCTGCCTCCCTACGGACCCAGGACGTCCAGGAGAGGCGGCCGGATTGCAATTTCCCCGTGGCTAAATCTAGCTCCAGGAGTTCTCGCTGACTTCATCCGTCGCCTTGTAAGCTCTGTTACATCCTCACCAATACCCGGTCAACTTTTCTGGCTCCTAAAAAGAGTGGTGAAGATGTGAACCTCTGGCTGGTCAGCTGAGGGTGTAGGTGGCCTCAGCTGGGTCGACCCTGCCTGTCCCTAGAACCAGGGAGAGGAGCATTGCCACCTGAACAGGGAGCAGAGAAACGGCACCCACGTGGGCAGGATACCGCATGTCAGAAGGACATACTGGCAATGAGGGCGTAAGCAGCACAGTCAGCCGTTACCAGAAAGAGTCATGTTCATTGAAAACCACTGTTTGCGAGGATAACTGATGAGCGGCAGCCACGACTCCTCTTTGGGGGACCATTCTAAGACAATGCTTTACATCCTCATGCAAATCATATCCTGTCGAAACAACAAATGGTTTCGACCATGACCATGACACAGGGCTTTTTAAAGTCAAGACTGGCCCAAGTAACAGAGCCACTAATCACTGTAATAGTTTTAAAGCAGGCTTTTAAAATATTGAATTCTAAAATAAACTTTCTGAATATTTCATGCCAAAGTCTTTGAAGTCTATAATGGTTCTGGATAGAGCAATGATAATTTTTCATTCTTTTGAAGTAGAGAAAATCCCCACTTCTCTGCCCCAGGGCAAAACCATGTTGCAGTGTGTTAGTATAAAATGATCGCAGACTGTGGAGGCCATTATTCTTGTTACTTCTTTCGGTGAAATATACACGACAATTTCATGCTATACAGGACCAAAAGCAGAACGCCAGATCTCTTCTAAGGGATTAGAAATAATCAGTATCACATGTTACTGACTACAGAATAGAAACCATCCCTTTTATTAAATTAGATAATTGAAGATTCTTAATGTTGCCTACGTATTTTTTTCCCCAAGGAACTGAATTAGATAAATGGTTTTTTTTTTTTTCTCTCTGCTCTGAACTGGTATGGTTGAACTCTGCATCTCAGAAGGTGACTTAAGTGGATAACCTAGAAAAGTCATGCTTAGAATAAGCAGCTCCTGACAATATTTTTGGTGTGTTTATTCGCTTACTGGGATGCTGCAGGCTTGTAGAAAAGGGAATCCCTCTGCCCGACGTTCCCAGTAAATAACCCTCATTGAAACTGCTTTCACTTCTTATCCTTCCTGCTGTCTCTGCCACAGCAGTCCATCATAAAACAGGGACAGTATAACCGAGAGGTGTTAAAATGGACAAGTTTACTCATAAGGTGTGGAGTGGCATTTTATTCCCACAGTGAATAGAGGGATGTTGTATTTCTATTTAGAAGGAGGCATGGTTAAGTGTTTCGCCTTCCGACGTTTCTCCCTCATCACACATCTGTATGAGCAGATCTGGTTGCCTCAGAGAAGAAATTCACATTTCAGAGCTGTGATTTTAAAAGCAAAAAATATAAGCAAAAATATACTTTTTTTTTTTACACTGCAGAAGGAATGAAAATCCAGAGGAGGAAGGTTTCACAGCACCCACACTCGAATCTCTGTGCGAGCAGAGAGCAGACGTGGCTGGTGGGTAGGATTACAGGTGGGTGGGCCAAGGAGAAGGAGAAATCGTCAGCAGGTGGAACAGTTGGAGTGTTTCCGTTTCTCTGGCAGTCAGCCCCAGAAGGAATCTACTCTGGCTGTGAAACTTGAAGGTGCGGTCCAATGTCACCGACGTGCTTCAGCACTGAAACGGTCCGCCACCCCGCACCCTGGCCGGAAGTCACCTCTGGGAAGGCAAGACCTTTCTCCAGTTCGCTGCGGGGCCCCGCCTCTCAGCGCATGGCAGGCCATGCCCGTGTGTGGGGAGAACAGGTTGGTGGAGCTGACGAATCTGGAGAAACAGTGGACAACGTAACGGAACAGCGACGATCCTCCAGGAGGTGCGGGGGATTTGAGAGAGAGAGGAGAGCACCCCTATTTCTGAGGAGTCTGGTCACTGGCCAGGGAAATAATATGCACTGGAGCAGGCACCTGGGAGCCACCACTCGGGGACCCGTAAGCGGTGTCGGTTCTGGCGTCCGTGCCCAAGCGCCTTTGACACATGCCAACTCAGTATGAGCGAGACCAAGGGAGAGACGAACTCCGGAAAATAAGGCTGCAGAGGAGAGCACGGGACGGGGGGAACCGCCCAGTGGTAGGCTGAGCGATTCAGAGGTAAAGAGCAGGAAACCGGACACCAAGAGAGAGCCCTGGACCAGCCTGCCCTGCAGCACGGCCATCCAGGTGAGCGAATGCTCTCTCGCAGGAAAGCTGGCCTTTGAAGAACAAGGCAGGTGCTAGGGGTGCGGACCCCCCGACACACACACACACACAGTGAAAATCTGTGTATAACTTGACTCCCCCCAAAATTAACTACTAATATCCTACTATTGACCGGAAGCCTTATCAATACTATAAACAGTCAATTAACATGGATTTTGTATGCTCTATGTATGCATATGGTATTCTTAGAATAAAGTAAGCTAGAGAAAAGAAAATGTTACTTACAAACCATAAGGAAGAGAAATTACATTGACGGTATTGACTGAACATAAGCCACATACAGGCGGACGCGTGCAGTCCAAACCGGTTCATTCAAGGGTCAACCGTAGACATATAAACAAGCTTATGTTTCTGAACTGGTTTATCGAAGGAGCTAACAAAGCTTGCACAGATGTTTAAGAGAAACAGAAGTTGTCATTATTAATAAGAACTGCTTTTAGAAACGCAGGTCCAGTGAAGTTGATGACTTTCTGGGTTGCGTGGTTTTGAGATGCAGAGGAAGACCCAGGACTGGTGCTGGGAGCAGAGACCCCAGAGAGCTGAACTGCCCTGTGTCACTCCGTACGGACAACTTAGGCCCGTCTGGGCGGAAGGTGCAGAAAGAGGGGGCTACCGAGAGGGGGAGGCTGGGGTGCTATACAAGAACTGGCCCAAGAAAAACTCCCACGGTACCATGATCAGAGGTCCTGCAGTTAGTGGCTGTGTCTACTGTGTGCTTCCTGGTATGACCTCTCCCCTATCTTCGCCAAGGGGTGCAACACACTCTAAGTGGGGACAGTGCATTTGGGGTGTCTGTGCGGGCTTGGGTGATGAGTTTGGTCAGAGTGGGTGCAGGAAGAGGGGAAAGGCAGGTGCGGAACAGTAAGACCACCTATCAACTGGATGAATTCAGAGAGACAAGAACTCATGAGCCATAAGCTGCCCAGGACTTTGCAGAAAACCTTGGGGAGTGTGTTATAATCCCACAGGGCGTGGAACAGGGGCTGCAGGCAATCCCACCTGGACTCTGCGATGCAGGAAGACCTCAGCTGCCACCGGGATTCATCGAGAACCTCAGGCAGGACCGGTCTCGGCCTCTGCAGCAGAGTTCCGACAGTCGTCAGAACTGACTCATCACGTAAGTGGTTACGATTGCTTCCATCAGCATGAGCTTTAGCATTTGCCTCTTCCGTATCCTGATTTGTTAGGCAGGATTTTGTTCTCTCCTTCCTTGTGGTGCTGTGCGGACTTCGACAGCCCAGCCCAGAGGTGCCACCGTGACCCAGGGACTGAGTGAGTAAGCCCACCCCTAGGGGCCAGGGTTTCACACCATGAGCCTTTCATCAGGTTAAGCCGTAGTGTTGCTCTAATACACTCTGAAGGGAAGTGTAAGTTGTTGCTTTTTTAATTTAAAAAATGTGTAAACCATGAATATTTCTCCCAAGTAGTAATTTTTTTGTACAAAATATTTTCATCACAACAATTTCTTGTAATGTTTTGAAAGTCCTTATTTCATGGAAAATAGTTTTTGCTATAAAATAAGTTGGGAGTACCCCATGGCCAGCTCTCCAAAGCCAGATTTCACACTGAAATAATTGCTTTTGCTTAAGTTACTTTAAAAAAAAAAAGAAAGGAAAAAAGAGGAAATTGTTGAATTTCATTACATTAAAACAATGAAATATTCTCTATTAAAATGATATAAAGACTATAAAAGTGACATTTTTCAGTGGAAACAAGAACACAAACTAATACATATATTACAATTACACATCTATATTTATTTGGGTAGAAGTTGAAGGTTATATACTCAACAGAAACTTTGTCTTATGAGTCATTTGTCTTAAAATATTCTTTAACATGGATATCTTTTTCAACTAGAGAATTTTCTTTCTTTTTAGTCTGAATTTTCTAGACAAGTGACCTCATTTCTCAAGTATAAATCCTCAATAGCTGGAGCAGGGTTTTTCAACCTCAGCATGGCTGACGTTCTGGGCTGGACAGTTCTTTGTCATGGTTCTTTGTGATGGAAGCTGTCCTGTGCAACGTAGGATGTTTAGCAGCGTGCCTGCTTTCTACCCACTTG